GAGTGTAATCAAAGGCCACACAGAATCAAACAGAAAAACAAATGGGGGCCCTACCGAACGCGCTCCCAAAACTTCTGGTCCGCCGGACCATCCCCGTGGGCACCTCGAGCCGAAGGCCGGGGCACCGAAGGAGCCGTAGGAAGCGCAGCAAGCGAAACATGCGCCGCGCACGGCTGGCACGCAGAACGTGGGTAGGCCCCTCATCGAGGTGGGGAAAGATCAGGATGATCAAGTCAGGCAGCAACATCACCCTGGGCGGATCTCAACCGTTCTTCACCAAAGGAATTGGGTCAGGACTTTCGGGGACTCTGCAAGCGGGTAGCGCGCCTTTTCCAGCCTAAAAGGGGCTTCAGTAAGCGGTCATGAAATGCTATACATGTTGCATATAAAGCCTTGCGCCCCACTTAAAAGCGGTCAGGTGCTGCTAGCTTTTACAAGGCTTCGCTTGCATATGGGATGGAAGGAAAACCGATCTCAGGACAGCACTTGCAGCTCCTAAGCTGTACATAGGGCCGTGTCCTCTGATGCAAGCGCGGACATGTTGAGTCCGTATGAAAGACATCCCTGCCTTCCAGCAGGTACACTTCCGAAAAGCGTCCAGTGTTCCTCTCGCACTGGATGGCCACATCTTTGCTCTCGGGCCGCGCCGGCTTGAAGCTCAAGCCCCCACTCAAGGCAAGGTGCCTTCCCACCATGCGGAAGCACCACCACAATGCCGTGCCCTGCATGATCAGCAAAATGCCGAAGGCCACAGCAAGGTCCGTGAAGATCCAATCGAACCCCCACTTCGATCCTTCTGTATTGGGCTCCTCAGTCTTCATTCCCTCAGCGCTTTGCAAGAGGGTCAGCATGGCCATGACTAGAGCCTGCTTGCTGAACCCACTGAGGGCAATGGCGTTGATGCTCTCAACATGCTTCTTGCGCTCCTGCTCGTAGGCTGTCTCCTCCTTCAGCCCGATGCCCAGCTTCAACCTCAGCACATTGAACCTCTTCACTGCCAAGGCCTTGGTGCCAAAGTCTGCCGTGTTGTCTTGGCTTGGCACAGCATGCAAGCTGAACAGCTTTCGATGCAAAGCGTCTTGCACCCACAATGACTTCACTTCTAGGCGCCGGATCCTTCCAACTCCCTGGCGCTGGAACACGCCACGAGCTGCGCTGCTGTCAAGGTAGACCTCCATCTGGAGCGGGAAGCCAATGAAGGCAAACACTTCCTTCATGAACAATCCCTCACTGCAGGCAGCCACGCCACCATTGAACTCAGCTTCACCAGACGACAGGCAAAGCATCTGGAGGCTCCTGGCGTAGCTGAACAGCAAACAGCCACCAACCTCGAACATTGCACAGGCACAGCTATGCACCTTCAGGATCTCGATCTCGCCATTCTTGGGCAGCCACACGCCATAGTCCTTTTTGCCTTGCAGGTAGCGTGCCAAACGATGCAGCTTGTGTAGGCTTCCATCCGTAGGCTCCTTCATGTCTTTGGTCAGCTCACGGACTGCGAACTGCACATCCGTCCTGTCGTAGGAGAGGTACATGCAGAGCAATGCCAACTCCTGCCCTGTAGATTCTCAAGCTCTCCCCACTCAACTTGTTGCCCTCCTTGACCTCTGAGCACAGGCAGGGCGCCGGAGCCGGACCACACCCTTCCAAACCCAACATCTTCAACAGATCACTGATGTACTTCCCACGGGGCGTCAGGAAGGTGCCGCCGTCCATGACCTCACGGGCCCTTTTGAGGTGCGTCCACTTTTCTCCCACGCAGTTCTCATGAATCTGACTCTTCATCTTGATCTTCTCATGCAGCTTCTTCTCCAACTCCAGCAAAGCTGCTTTCGGTCCGGTGGCATAGAAGTCGTCCATGTGCACTTCCATCAACACTCCACTGGCCGGGTTGTAGAACATCCAGGGCGCGGCTGGGTTCCTCTTGAAGTCAATCTCCTTGAGATGCCCAGCTGCCCATTCCACAAAGGCCTGGCCAGCAATGCGCCTGCCATACCACTCAGTATTGAGCTTCCAGACCACACGATCAGGTAGATCGACTCCGCTGTCTGCCATCTTCTTCAACCACTCCTTGGGAGGCTTCATGTAGGCTTCTTCTGCAATTGGCACCTGCCAGAATGCATTCTCTGCATCAGCTGTCAAGAAGCTGTAGCCCATCTTGATGCCCACAATGTCAATGACCCTTGACGTTGAGGTACTGGATGCCACCGCAAACACGTCCGTGCGCGGGTCTCCCCGCTTGAACTCTCTCACACAGTACCTGCACCTCACGGAGCCATCTGGCTTCCGGGTCCTGACCCAGACGGCATCCAAAATCTTCATGCCATCCTTCTGCTCCACAGGGTCATAGGTCTGGTACTTGTCCATCTTGCGGAATTCTTCTGCATCTCCTTCATCCATCTCCTCTTTGCTCAAAGGCTTGCTCTCCTCGTTGTCCGAGTCCTCATAGGCCTGGTCCACGTCATCCTCGCACACAATGGTGTCTTCCGTTGGCGAATACAGTGCACCCACAAAGATTCCAGCCACGCGAGCTCTCTTGGCCTCTGGAGTCATCTCGCCAGACTCTCCTGCCCATGCCCGTCTTGCAGACATGCCCAAATCCATAGGTGCTGCCTCATCACCGCCCACATCAGCCGTAGGTCTTGATGCCGACGAAGGACCTGATTGCACAGGAAAGTCTCCCTCGTCCTCCTCTTGGATGACCTCCCCACTTGGCTCCAGCCTGGGGCTCTTCTTGGCCGTCTCTTCGGTCGGGATCAGGTTCGGTGTCTGAGGCAAGGCAATGTCAGCCTTCCTCTTTGGCCTGCCGATGGTTGTGCCCATGTCCCATGGCACTCCGATCATCTTCTCCATCAGCTCCCTGTTGTAGCGCCTGCTGCTGTCAGCTAGTCTGCGCACACTCCTGGCCGTCACTGTCCCTTCCTCTGTTCCCAGTAGGTATTCATTACTGGTCACACTTCTCCCAAGGAAGATACCCTGACGCCATGCCGTCTCCCCTTTGGGCACCACTGCCCTGTTGTGGGATCTCCTGGCCTTACTCATGGGGATCTTGAAGAGCACCGTCTCACCGAAGGGCACCAGCTGCGAGGTGTATGCCGTGTCGAAGGCATCTTGATATGCTGTCCTTTGGTTGCCCTTGACGCTGAATCTGCTCCTGATGAATGAGCACCACCTCACCAGCCATGGCCATAGGTTGTGTGAGGTGTGGAGCGTAATGCCATAGCTTGCTTCTGTCTGGTACCTGAGGGTGAGGACGTCACCACGGAGCAACTTCTGGAATGCTCCCATGGTTCCAAGGCTCTGAGATGAGTACCTTGGCACTTCTTCGAATTGGACCTTGAGTCCCTCAGCTCCTGGAGCTTTCCCTTCTCGCAAGGCACCAGCTATCTTGGCAACAATCTTCTTGATCACAGGCTCATTGTCACTTCGGAGCTTCACCTGCATGTAGCCCAACTGTGCTATGAAGGATGTCACCGTCTTGATCACATAGGGCGTCTCCAGGTTCTTGCCAGGATGGACATTGCTAGGGCCATCCCGGTGCCACTGTCCACGATGGAGAGGATTGTATCTGAGCTCTCCTCAAACCGCTCTGCAATGGATGTGTCTGTCTTGAGGAAACTGTAGTCCAGCTCGAAGTGGTTCTCGGCCAGCTTCTGCTCCATTGTCCTGCGTCGATGAGGATCATCCATTGCATGGCCTCTGGTGCAAAACTCACACCAAGGTGCTGGCGGCAGATGTGTGATCAGGTGCCGCTCCACTTCCTCCGTGTCCGGCTTCTGGGGTACTGGCACATAGGAAACATCAGGTTCCCTCCTCACGCAAGGCTTGCTGTCGGGCAGTGTTTCTCTCAACGTAGTCGCGTGCCCGTGCCCTCCTGATCGACAAGGCTCTCTCTGTGGGCTCCTTGAGCTCTCGAAGTCTGGCTCTCATATCCTCCACCTTGCTCCATCCATGTAGTCGTGGACGATCAGCTCGAGCATGGGCCTCATCTTCTGCAAATTCAGGTGGGATGGGGACCGTCTCAATCCCTTCACCCTCATCTTCAATGCCTGCATACTCCCACTCATATTCTTCTCCTTGACCTGCCACAGGTGCCACCACACCAGTGCTCACCTCGATGTCCATGGGGATCGTCTCATCATCCCGCACCTTGACATAGTAGGAGTTGCAGTGAAGGTACAGAGGAATCTTGAAGTCCAGCTGGGGGTGTGTGAGGAAAGGCTTCATGGGGCTCCTCATGTCTGGTGCAAAGCCATTCCTGCTCATCTTCCCAGCACTCAGGACATCCTTACTGGCCTGCTCGCTGACCTTGAACTCAGTGACTGCATTCAGGAACTTGTTGTCCTCGCCGATGATCTTGTAGTTCACCTTCTTCTTGCCAAGTCGTCCAAGGCACTGTCCTGAAATGCCCATCAGTTTCACCTCACTCTCCTCGGTGTGGCAGTTGCCGCCAAAGCTTGGCCGACACAGATGCTCATCACTGCCTGAATCCCACAGGAGGTACTTGATCTTCTTGTCAGGCGACTGGGATGCCAGCAAATGCCAGTCCGATGGCTGCTTGCTTCGGTGAATCATCATCACCCACATCTCATCTGAGTACTCGTCCTCGATGTCGAACACATCTTCAGCATCTGCCCAGTCCACACGCTCTCCATCACCAGGCAGCCAGTAGTACACTGCATTTGTGCTCTGTCCACCAACAGGGGACGCAGATCCAGTTGCCGTGGACGATGTCGCTGTGATGGCATTGGTGCTGCCACATTTTCCTTTTCCTTCACTCTTGGCCTTCTCGGAGGAGGTGGCTTTCCCTTCTTGTCGAACTTGCCACCCTTATTGACTCCCTTCTCACTCTTCGACTTGCCACCTTTCTTGCCCTTGTCAATGGACACTGCACCAACATCCATGGGTGCTGCTCCACCATCGTCCTTGCCCAACTCGCCCTTGGCGTTGTAGTATTGCCCTGCTTGAAGGAAATCTCGCACGAACTTCTTGGCTCGCTCATAGTTCGTCCCAACTTGAGCTCCAGCAGTCCTCAGGGCTGACCTCAATGACATAGGCGCATGCTTCATGAGGACTGCAATCTTTGTGGAGTCCGAGACATGCTCCTTGGCCTGGATCTCATAGCACCTCGTCAGCACTTCCCAACTCTCCAGGGATTCCAGGAAGTCGTTCTCCTTGACGGTCTCCCAGGCTGGGGCGATGATGCTCATCAGCATGGCTGTATGCCTTCCTCCAACATCAGGCTCATAGGCCTCACAGAGGGCTTTCCAAGCCTGGAAGCCATTTCCATTCTCCACATTCATCAACACCTGTAGGGCTCTGCCATCAACGCTCTGGGTGAGGAGGTTGAACAGGATGATGGCCTTTTCCTGGGCGTGCTGCAACATATCACTCAGGATCAGGTCGCTGTACCGGTTGGCATTCTCTGCAGCTTGGATGAGGGCCTGATAGCTCGTGTCCAGCAAGTTGAGGTACCCTCTTGCCACAAAGACCCAAGCTGCCCATTCTTCTTCTTTGCCTGAGAAGCTTTTCAACTTGCCAATGGCTCGGGTGTCGATGAGACCGCTGCCGCCGACCTGCTGAGCTGGAAGGGCTGGCTGAGCTTGCTGCTGCTGAGCTTGTTGAGGTAGAAGACCTGCTTCAGCTGCCGCTGCCAGGGAATCTCCGAGCGAGAAAGCACCTGGCGGGGTGAGCGGCGCAGCGTTCGAAGCCATGGGCGCTGCTTGACACCTCCACTCGGGGAGGAATTACACCGTGCCCACACCGCAATGCGGATTTACAGGGTGTCCTCCACGCAGGCGCCCACGCGCGGGTCTTACCCTGTCTAACAGGGGACCCGGAGCAGGAGCTCACCCTGCTCCGCTACCATGCAAGCGGGTAGCGCGCCTTTTCCAGCCTAAAAGGGGCTTCAGTAAGCGGTCATGAAATGCTATACATGTTGCATATAAAGCCTTGCAGACTCCCTTCTCTCATGGCCTCTTTTTGACCGAGCACTCAATACCAGCATAGGGCCTACCCACATTGCCTTTTGGGGAACACGATGCTGGTGGTTTCCGTAATGGATTGAATTGGTTAAAGACCAACAATACTGCTCGAACGACAAACGGTGCCCAAGCTTTTCCTACTGACCCTACTGACATCCGACAAAGAAGTTTCCGAGTTGAAGGGATCTGCTCCTGCGGGCAGATCCCTTGGAATGTTTGCACATATTCTTGACATGGAGTGTTAGGGTTCTACGTTTTGCTCTGGAAACGCGATTGGCCTTGGTGACCAAACAGTGCCTTTTCATCTTTGAATCAGGCCATCAACTCGTAACCAGTTGCTTCGCCAAGGTGCAAATCAAAACAAAGCCAGGACTTGGCGTAAGCCTTGGCAATGTCCTTCACGTGAAAACGCAAATGGTCGTTGATGTAGACGGCCGTCAGGAAAGTTGCCGGAATGTCTAGCAACCAAAAGATCGTCATCGCCCAATGCCCCACATCTGCATAGTAGCGGATGTCGTTCTCCAGGCGATAGAGATGCAACGGCGTAACGCAAAGCTCATAAAAGACTGCGAGCAACGCAATGCAATCCCATACAAACCGTTGCTTGGAAGATGGACTCATAATGAACCATGGCCCAGGCTCCTTCACTCTCACCAAGTATTGCCTTCTGATGTTGGGTTTTTGCAAGCTGGCAAGGCTAGAAGCAGACATTCTCCTCTGAATCCGCTTCCTGAGTGGCTCGACGTTCTTGCGCATCGGTGTTTGGCTTCCCTCATCAAAACTCCAACACACTACCATGGCCGTAGAAAGATACGGACAAGTCTGAGCTTGCCTAATTAAACAGTCTTTGGGATTTGAGTGTGACAAGGATTTATCTGTATATATATATATATATCTCTACGTCTACATCTCTACCCAGTAAACCATAAGTGTGCATTGTTTTAGTCATAAAAAAACAAAGTTTTGTGAATAAATAACACTTTCTCAACTTCACAGATCCCAACATACACTTGTTGGTATTTCATAACATTCCAAACATGTTACATGAGAAACCGGATCCAAAGGGTTCCCAGCCACCGGGCTCAAAAGAAATACCAAAAAACAAGAGCAGACATACCCGTCCAAAAGGCGGAAATACCCGCCTAAAAATATGGCCCAAGTTTGTCAGGTTTGAAGGGTCAATTTGAAGTGGATCTGTGTCCACTGAAATGGGCCAGGAAGACACGATAGCACTTTTCACTCCCGATTACACTTTTGCTTGAAAGCATACGTTTTTTGCTTCCAAATCAGCCGATGACAAAAAAAGGGCAAGGTTGGGTTTTCAAGGTATGTATATAATATATAGTGTTTTTCGTCTCTTTCCAGCCCACATTGGCCCACGTGTTCGTCCAACGGGAGAGACCGCTACCGCTTGTTCTTCCTCCGGGTGTCAGGTCGAAGAGCTTCTCTTCCGAGAGATCCCACTCCTCGCGCAGCTGCAAGGAACCTGGGCGACACCAGCTGACAGAGTCCAAGGTCGGAGCCCGGCAGGGAGTTCTCTTGAACTGCATATATATATATAGACTATATATATATATGGGGTGCAGTGTCAACAGTCAAGATTCTACATATGCACATAAATGCAGATACAATATAATATAGTTTATTTCATAGTATATATAAGTACATTACTATGTTACTATGTACATTGTATGGGTTGATAAGTTCAGTTCTTTTGATTCTTCCTGGTCTTCTCTGTTTCTTGACTTCTTTCACTGCACCAAGGACGCACCAAAACAATGGCTGGCTGCTCCACCCTCCGTCTCCGAAACGAAGGCACAGGAATCCATGGAGTTCGCGTCGATTTGCCACTCCATTTCCACCACCGTTTGTTCTCAGTCGCCAGCTCCGTGGGAAACGAGGTGCTGAATTGGAGGTGCTATGTAGTTCCGATGGGAAATCAAACAGGGCGGGTCCAAAGGGACAGCAGTTGCTGAGGCACGTGACTGGATGGTTTGACATGTGTAGACTTTCAGTGGGTGCTTGGATGCATGGCTCGCGGCTGATCAACATATAAACCCATGGAAGCAGCAAAGTCCGAATAATGAGGCTTGTGATGGCTTCGATTTTCAGAATGATTGATTTCAATGAATGGGGGAGTTTGCCGTTTGTTGGATGCCCAGCTCCGGATGCATTCCGGAGAGTGGCTGTGTGGCTTGACGAAGTGTTTGGCACCGTGCCATTACAGCCAGGCAGCTCGCTTCCTTCATTAGCTTGCTCGAAACCTTCCTTGGGTGGCAGCATCTTCCTAGCCAAAAGAGTCGAACCTCAAATCATGATTCATGTTTGATGCAACGAGCCAGTGGCCCTGATTCAGTCTGAGTAGCAGTATTCTTCACAGCTCGTACTTGCCTAGGGCCTAGAACATCTAAAGCACTGCTCTCAATCTACCTTCTCATTAGATTCCTACAGTGGATGCTATGTGCCGAGGCGCGTGGATATTGGTCGAACCTGCTCTGAAGGCGTCTCGCCCTCACGATCCACAAGCAAGAGGCTGGCCTCAGTGGGAGATGAGGTCGAAGCCTGAAGAAACCAAGGTGGAAGCGTCTGCATTGGCTGGGCCTCTGCTTGGATACCATTGGTGAACACTTGCGATATTTGCAATCACAGTTTAAGCTGGGTAATGAGTCACCCATATCACAACATCCTTCCCGGAACCCAACAAGACGTTCAAGCAAGAAAGACGAAAGGACAAAGAAAACAATATGCCTTTGTTTTGCTAACATGTTTTATTTCAGCCCTCCCTCTGCACAAAAGAAGACCCTTTGCCCTTTGCCCAGCTGTCGGTGTGCCAGGCCGCACCTTCTAAGCCATTTGGAGGGTCAAAGGTTCTTCACTGTAGAGCTGTATCAAATTGTGGTTGGGCAGTTCCAACTCCAACAAGCTAATTCAATATAAGTCTAGTGCATCTGTGCTTTTGGGCTTCTATATGCAAGTTCGGCCATAAGTATCGGTGTTGAAAACTCCTACTTACAGTTTGCATTTGTTTTAAAATTGCATTAGCGCCAGCACTGTTCACTGCTAAAATAACCCCGAGGTATCTTTTGAGTGAGTATTTTTGTCAAAATCCCTTGCTGTATTCCTGTTTGTCTGATGGACACTTTAGGGAAGAAAATCAAACAACCTACGGTATACAATGTTCTTGTAAAGGGGAAGGAACACCCTTCGATTTGGAAGTCCTTCTCAATTTTGGGCACGAGCTTCAATTAAAAAACAAACATTATCCTAGGCGACAAACATAGGCTTTGAAGCTCTTACCAGGCTACCACCTTCCGTGTTCCCTATGTTACCTGCAGGACCCCAAACTTCGAACAACTCGACCGGACTTTCTTGTGGAACGGGGGAGGGCAGTGTTGGTCGGGTCTTCCTTCGAGTGGCTCGGCTACTCGTCGCTCGTGCCTTCGGCGAGGCCGGCTCGGGCGGGCGCGAGACTGGCTCGGAGCTCTGTGGTACCATGCCCCGATCGGGGGGAGTCGGAGCGGCCATCGTCTCCACCTAGTGGAAGGTCATGCACGAAAGCGTCTGGTGAAGGGGGAATCTTTGGAACGAAAAATTGAAGAATGTGCGCGGGCATGATAGGATCAAGCAAGAAACAAACCTTCGTACGGGGTCCCTTGAGTGTTTTTGATGTGAAACAATAGCGCTCGAGGAAACCCACTTCAACCCCCTTAGGAAGAATATTGATTCTGGGGATAGGTTGCTAATGATTCTGACCCTCATCCACGCTCAAAATTGCTGGAAATCTGCAAACAAGTCTATGAACCCCCCAACGACAAAGTGATAATAATATGAAACTAATCTTCTCTCATCGTTTATCCTTCGATACTGCCTGTTGTCTTCTGTTTCCTTCGCGCATCCATGAATAATGTATATATATATACATATAAATATGTATTTATACATACATAGTTATAAAAAATGTTTCCTGAAGAAGCTGACGTAACAACCCCAGGCAAGAAATGCTTCCAACACGTTCCAACAAAATTACTCCAGAACAATGATTCCACCCTATGACATACCCCCCCTGGAATCATCTTTTAGTGCAACAGCCATGTGAAAAATGCACGGCCTCGTGCGCGTCTCGGAGCTTCTGAAGAAGCAGCTGCATCTCATCGAAAATGTCGGAGAAACACGGCCATGTCCGAAGGCTCTCTTGCCCTTCCTTGGTGTGCAGTCGGAATATCGGAGATATGTTCATATTATTTTCACTTCTGGTCCACATCACAGCATGTTCACTGTTGAGCGTGGCATTGTTTGGGAACATCTGACTGTCGGTCAAACCCATCAAAGCTCCCGAGCGACTTGTGGTGTGTGAGGGGCTGGCCAGGGTGGGATGAAATTATACAAATCAAAGCCATCATACATACTCATGATTCATGATATTTCATTTCGCTCCCATCTACTCAACTATTCTGACAAGACTACTCCTGGTCTAATGTGTGTCTACCTTTGCAGCTGTTCAAATGGTAGGACTGATCGGTCTTGACCCCCAGCTGCATGAATCAAATTGAATCTAATCCAAACACCAACACCCGGGACTTGACCACTCCCACTCCAAGCTACGCACTGTTCGCGTGGCTGGTCAGCGCCGGACGGCAAAGGCGGGTCTTCCTGGGGCACCGTCAAGGCTTCGTCCGCCATGGTGCTTTCGTCCGCACGGTGGTTGGCTGAACCGTCTGCGGTGGTTCCGAACTGACGAACTGAACATGCTCCGATCTGCCACCGGCACGGTAGGAATTCGCGCAAGAGCGTAGCCAAAAGCTGTTTACTATCATATCTATCATATACTATCATACCATCTGACAAAAAACAGTTGCCCTGTGCGAGCTTCCCTGAAAGCCTGAGCCTGGTAAAGATGGCACTTGAAAAGACAAGTTCCTGCGCCCCCTCACCCACAACATGCATGCTTTTTTGGCATTGACCATATACGTAGGCCGTGAAGCATGAGTATGCCGGCATGAGCGGCAACAACTGCTTCCAAGACAAAAACGTCGACAAAAGACCTGCGGCCACTGGACATTGCTGAACAGCACATCACCAAAAATATGCTTCCTGTCGTGGATGCAAATTTGATGACTTTTGAGTCATCGTGAAACCACATGAAATTCATTCAGTTTGAGGCTTCCCAGAAAAACGGCAGCAACAGCTTGGGGTAGCCTGATAGTTTGTGCGCCTGGAAGCCTTTTAGAAACTCCTCACACTTGTGCCACTTGGTGGTAGGTAGTCATGGATGTTCTGACTCAAGCAATCCCAAAACCTCAATGAGGCAAACAGTTCTTGCACCTTCATTATCACCCTAGTGGCAGGTATACCTGTTTTTAAACACGGGTGATAGTTAGTGCAACCTCAAACTACTATGAACTATATACCCTACCGCATCCAAAAAAACACTGGAACTGGCTGGCAGGCTGTTGCACCTGCATTGTGATGTCCATGCGTAGTATGTCCACATGGTGGGCACCCGAGAACATCAACTGGTTCATCTGGGGGCCTGGCGTTTGGACCCGCAGCTGCATGTCACAACATAAGATAAACCTACCTTCCACCCCCACCAAGAGCTGGGACTTGGTGCATTCTGGCCCAAAGCATGCCGTCGGGTCAAGGCTTTTGTCAAGTCCACAGAGTCAAAGGACCTGCTTTTCATTGTTTCTCTCTGATGGCAGCGACTCAGCATTTCCACCTGTGGGAGAATTCAGCATCTCTGCCTCGCCGCAAGCTCACCCTACCCCAAAGGGACATCAAAATCATGTAGACTGCGTGGAAACTGGGCAACTGCATCGTCTAAAGTGACTAAAGTGCATCGTTTTGGTGTATATAGTTGGCCCTAGTAACTAGTAACTATAGTATATTTTGGAGAGGAATGGGTGCACAATTTTCTTATCTAATCCTTCAGTGCCAAGAACACTTGCAAATCGTGCAACACATCTTGGCACCCATGGCCAAGCGCTCATTGCCTCCTGGACATCGCAAAGCTTCCTCAAAAGCAGCTGAATCTCATTAAACACTTCGGAGAAAGAGCTGTTGGTCGCGGTTTCCAGAATGCTTTTCTCCTCGGCTGGAGAAAGTGAGCTAGAAAAGCGCCCAGATGATGGATCACAAACTCAATTAGCATCGTTGCTCTTGAGAGGAATGCGATGGAAGTCGTTTTCAGGATTCTGGTTGACTACGTTCGGGGCGCCTCCGTCAATGATCAAAGGAAAAGCACAAAAATACAGCATCGCAAATGGCCTTGGGGTGTTGACCAGGTAGAACTTGGAACCGGGTGTTTAACAATCGCCACATTAACTGTAATCTCGCATCACACTGTTTCACCAAGTGTCTGAAAGCAATTCATGTGTATGCAGGCGCTTCAGCTCCATCGGTGATGGCTTAGGTGGTGCTTCATCGGGCACCGAAAGAGTCTGCTCTTGCATGGAAGGGTGGGAGGCGCGCACGCACCAGCAGCTTACAAACCAAATCTGCGGTCACAACAACCAACATGTGCCAACAAAGGATGCAGGTGCAGCGAACCTCCTTGAAGATAATTAGACTTAATTAATGTAAAAGGCCATGAACAGTAGCGCGGTCGACTCCCAAATCCACAACGACTCCTTTCACCTAGATCCATGAATGAAGTCTCAACCTCTGTAAAGCCCTTCAATCAGTCACATCAGTCATCCGCCTCCGACTGCAGGCTTACTGGCTTACGCCTCCTACGACGATGCATCCCAGCCTTCAGCTCTGCTAGGCTCGAGTCTTTGCTTAAAGCAACGGCGGGAAACTCCTACGACGCGACGTCTGGGAGTCTGGCCGGTGGTCGTCTGTACGACGTCCGGTCGACGGACCCATTTCGAGTAGACTCGTTGCGCAACGAAGAAGCATTTTGGATTTTTTTCGTAGGCGCCTATGAACTCGAAGGTGTATCAATGCATTTCTGTGCATAAATACAGCACATGATAAATCATGAATCCATGCCTCTCACTCGCACAGGCACAATAGAGTGTCGCCAGTGGAGAGCTACCAGTAGTGAGGCCTCCAACCACCACACCAAATTCAACTGATGATGTCGCCCTCAAAAGCCAGGAGAACGCGCGAGGAGCACGCGCGGTCGCTATAGGATGAGGGCGGTCAGCCAACCCGACCGATCCCTCTGCTCCGGTCCTCCGAGATCTCGGGCCTGGCGTAGGACGGGCTAGGAGTGAGCCCTATCAGGCAACCACCTCAACCATATGTTCATCAAGCTGCAGCAGTTTTTAAGCCCCACATGGAACCCATGTCCATCCGAGAGCACCTCCATATCCAGCCACATCGCATGGCCGCGATGGCTTTCAAGCGTCATCCTTTTGCCATTGCCCATCCCGCCACGTACAGCCGTCGCCCGCCTGTCAGGATGATTAAAAAAACATCCGCGAGGTGTTCCGCTTCTCCTCGTACAGCTTCTTCGCTCGTGGGTCTCCTCGCTCAGCGAATTTCAAACGCTGGCCTGACCGGTCAAACAGAGCTGTGTTTGGCCAATACCCGCCACCCTCAGCTTAAGGAACACCCTCAAGCCTCAGTAGGCTTGACAACCCGATAGATCGCCATGCCGAGACTTGTGGCTTCTTCAACACATCACCCAACCCCCGTTTCACACGATCCCCCAACCGCTGCAAAGCCGTCTCGGGTTACTCGGGCTAGTGGAAAAGACCAAGCCAACACATGCCAACACACACTGGTTTGTTTGCTTGTCTCTCTCTCTCTCTCTCCCCCCTGTCTCCATTGCCATGTTCAGTTCACTTGCTTCAGTGTGTTTGGGGTCGCCCATATATATTTTATATACATAAATTTACTATATACACACACACACACATATATATATATATACACCACACTTCCGCGTGACTGCGGACCAGGGCCAGAACTGCGTCTGTTTCCCATGTATGCCGGAACTCCTTTTTCAGGACGAAGCTCTACACAAACGACATCATCCGGAGAAAGGCCACACCTCGTCGGATGAGCACAACACTTGTCCAACCGTCACATGTTAACACAAATTAACACGACAAAAGGATTCACTGAGGCCGTGAGGCTCTTCATGACTTGACACTGGGCACCAGCAATCCAACCCACGATGTCACGCCAAGACCTGTCCTCGAACATTCCTAGTTGAGTTGTTAGGTACCTGAGAGATCCCTGTACACTGTAGAGCATCAAGTCCAAGGACCTTGGCAATGTAACCCGTGTGGCAGGTGCACTTCCAATTTCTCATAATGGGAACGGGAAACAAAGTTCACTGAGTCAAGTCTGGACTTAGAATTCCAGCACCTTCGATGAGACAGGTGCTTTTGGTCTCCGGATATTCTTGGTTGAATATAGTTGAATCTGGTCCAACACTGTTTGGCACTGTGTGAGATGGGTGCTTCTGCATCAAGTTGTTTTGGGTCTGGACCTGCTGTCGGCGTTAAACAAACTGGAAGCAAGATTTGCTGCAGCAAACCTCGTCTCGCACACGTTGGCAACATGTTTTCGTTCCAACATGTCATGTTCATATCAATTCAGGTGACATCATATTTTCCATGCAAACCGAAATAAACGATTGATCAATATCGGCTAGAGTTGTGCCTGGAACAAACATGCCGATGTCTCTTCAGTTTGCTGTGCTGAGGGAACCTGGCCTGGCGAGTACCTCATGTTGCAGGTGTTTTTAAACCACATCCCGGAGACAAGCCAATTTGATAAATCTTGTCTGACGCTCAAACAACACCGCTTGGCTGCCTAGCTACCAAAACAGAATCGAACTGTCCAGCGGTTCTGACCCAAATGGAGCACCTGTGGCTCATGACGTGTCTTGCCAAGAAGCTGCTGAAGTGTCGCCATGTCATCCAACAGTTCATGACCCGCCTAAACAATGAAGCCGCGCTTTGTGCGGTGTCAAGCTGGAAGATCGAACTGAACTACAATAAAACAAAAATATCGGCCTCTTTATATGGTCCTATTGTGGAGGGCTACCTGTATACCAGAAACTAAACACCAACAAAGCGGCGCTTGTAGTGAAACACTTGAGATCCCAAGTCTGCTTCTGTCGCCCTAAAGCCCGGTCCCCATGTCATCGAAACAAAAAAACTGAACAAAGTGAAGTCGAACTCTTAAGGCACCAGGTCGAACTCCTGCGATGCCGGAAATCGTGGATGGCCATTTTTGTATATTTTTTGTCCCGTTGTCCAGCATGTCTGAAGACAAATCAAACTCAGCGTACGGACTCGCACGTTTCCTGCGAAGGATAACTCCACATAACTCCTCCGGTTTGGGTGGTCGATCTGCAAGCATGGTGAATCCAGGCTCTCTACACGTGTTCACAAGCATCCCTCGCCAAAACACCTCCCGCCAAGCTTTGACTCCATGCCTGCATCCCAGTGAGGGCTACCAGCACAGTAGCCTCTCTTGGGAGTCTCCTGGCAAGTGTGTTTTCTTTCAATGGATTGAAAGTCCATCATCACATCAATCAAAGCAAAACGCCTCCAAAATACAAACACATGCTACAACCAACACACCAAGACATGCTTTCCCCTCGCACCGATCAATGGCGACCACCACGCATCTGGGTCAACTGTTCATCTCTTTTTCCGGATGATTTCGCCTTCAAATCCCTGCGGGGATCCTTTGGGAGTCCATCAACCTTCATTCATGGACAACGAGAGAACTGATCTGCATCCGATTCTCTAGTGCGGTCGGGCGCTTCGCCCTGTCTTCGCGGTCCGGTCGTCTGCGGTCTGAGGTTTAAGTCGAGACAGAAAGGACAGCCTCCAAACATTGCTTAGCAGCTGCAATGCCTATCACATTGCTTAGCAGCTACATTGGATCTTTGCATATCTTTGCATTCAAGTTGAGAACTGCCCACACTTTTGCCTTCTGAATTGTGGAAACAAAAGGCACACTTTCGACCTGGGGCCTCAATGGGCTGTTCAGTTTCACCAGTTCTCCTGGACAAGGTGTGTAAGAGTCGTGTTAAAGTCGAGTGGTCAAAGCAACCACACCCCCCGTTCGATTCGACTCTCCACATCTGCAGCCAATATGCCCCGATCTGAAGAGATCTGCCAACAAGCAAGTGCGAAAAAGTGAAACAGCTCAGCCCCTCCTCTGCCCCTTCAGGTCTCTCTGTCACTCCTCCCAAAAATCCCCCAAAAACCACCGCTCACCGCGCCATCGTTGAGCCGCACTGGCGCGGAGCTCCCCCAGAGTCGAAGCCGCTCTTCGCTCGCCCGGCTCTTCGTCCGGGCACCTTGGATCGGCTTCCAGTCGGTTGGTGGATGAAATGAACGTCGGCTGGTGGATGTCCCACAATTCCAACTTGGCAGTTTGAAATCGTGAGATGTCTGCCCTCTCTGGACCAGTCTTTCGGCAATTCGCAAACAACAAGCAAAAGAAGGATGCTGGACTTGTTTTGAAGATTTCTCCTGCAAAACACATGGAAGCAAAAAGGAGAACGGACCTTCCGCATGTCGCAGGAACGGGGAGAAACCACTGTTTTGCAACAAAGGCCAACGGCCACCCGGTGCACGGCCAACGGCCACCCGGTTCAGGGCCTGGGCATCTCTGCGAAAAGGTCCTGCAGCATCAAATCCACGCAGCACAACTATTCCCAACTTTCATGAAAGGATATGTTCTCGGGCATGGCATGACAAACCCTCAAAAAAATAGGGATCACCATGGATCACCAAAATTCATTCATCAGACTGGGGTACCCGGTCATTGGGTAGCTCATCAACTATGCTGAATGAGCAGCTCCAATGCAAAGTGGGTTCTCTTATGGCTTTAATGTTACCCGTTAGCCCTACAAACTTGCCACGGCTGGCACCCCGTAAGGCCCTTAAAGGCAAAAGGAGCTCGGCACAGCCATGGGAGATTTCACCAGTGGGTCCTCTCAAATCCAAGGGCCACACCCCTTGAGGCTGCAGAAGTGTCGGTCGGAACTGCTGGAAGGCTTCTCTCAAACCACCAGCCTTTCCTCCCATCCAAGCTATGGGACGGCTGCAAAGCTTCGTGTCATGGAGCCCCAAATGCTGTAAATCTCTTGATTCCATCACCCAGCGCCCTAGAACACTCCCCTCCCACTCCGGCACTTCGTCAGGATTTGAGGTCAACGTAGGCTCTTCCTGGGCAGATCTGATCATCCGATGTACAAACTGGATTCGAACTGCTGACGATACGCCTTGTTTGATCAAACCTCTTTAATCACCTGATCGCACCTGATATCCCCTGAGCTCCAGCACTCTCGAGCGAATTGGGCAGGACTCCATAAGACCATTGGAAAAGAAACTGGGCACCTGGTCCAGGGATGGTCTAAGAGATCATCCGTAGGTCCGAAACCGCGTTTAAACATGTGGAACTGACCCTGAAGCCGGTGGCGGGCTGGGGTCCGGAAGCCGGTCCAATGGGCACGGCCGTGCTGTAGACCAGGATCAAGGAACGAGCAAAACAGAGAATAGGTCCAGCATTATACTCACAAAAGTCATTCTCCAGCATGTCATTGGCATGCATGAAAGTAGCTTGCTGCGACACCGAAAGCAAACTGCATAGTATACTGGATAGGAAGTTTTTTTGGGGTGACTGTTTAGTCGCAGCAACAATGTCATCAACCACGGTTAAGCCAAAAAGGGCTGGCGGCTGAGGCGCTAATGCACCCCCAATTGCCGACAAAAAAAAAGGAACATGGACCTCGGAAAAAGAAACAAAACTACTTGGAGCAAAAAAAATGACGTCACATGGAACCCGTTCTTCCTTTCGATGATGCCCGTCACGGGCCTCAGGTTCGAGATCTTTCCTTTCGCCCACAGCATCCTGCAGTGGATGAAACCCATGCTGACATGAATCTGGAGAGAGGCTTATATGTAGAAAGAACATGCATTGGATTGGCAATGAACCTGCTTGGAGGGATTCTCTTCTATAACGTCGATGAACTTTGAGTGACGTCAATTTCGCCGCTGCCTGCTTCACCTGAAGTTGAAAGGCGGCCACTTGCTCCACCGACAGCGTGGGCTGCGCTTGGTCCCAGTGAACCAGCAGCACCAGGTCACCCAGGATGGCTTCAACACCTCGGCAGCGTGGCGGGAATGGCATCATGCAATGGGCCGGGGATCATTCCCACTTTTTCTCGTTCCCGCGAGAAAATCCACCAAGGATTGTGGGTTTTTCCAAACACCACTTCAGTCATCTAACCCCATCAACTCAAGACTTCAGTACAGTATTATATATAATCTATCTATCTATATATATATATGTTTGACCTTTGACTCTGCACCTCTGGGGCTGCCGGACTTTTTGCTCCGCCCATGTAAGCTTGTGGTGGTTCATGAGCTTCGTGGCACATCGAAAAGCGAAGTCAACTGCCATGCTCATCCACCCTTTGCAAGAGCGAGCCGGGTTGAAGAAAACAACGGGCCAGCTGGACGTGCAGGCACTGGATGTCATCATTTCCTCAAGGGAGAGGATCCCGGTTCAAGAAAGCCCAGCGCATCGTAGATGCTATCAAATGCATATAGTCTTTGTCTCACTTCAGGCCTCAAAGCGGTGAAGACAGCGTTTGCTGCCATTTCTTGGAGGTACGACTCCAGAGTCGTCTGAGATCGCAATCTCAAACGCCAGAGTATGTTCGAAACTGGTTCTCCTCGCCTGTAGAGCATGACTGCAGCTCCTCCCCTGAGTCCCCCGGGGGTGAGCCTGAGTTTGGTAGGGATCATACAAAGTTCTAGGATAGCATCCCATCTGCGTCTATACACTGATGGCGACGAAGGATACAGCTGCAAGGAGGCTGGCAAACGCTCAAACACCAAACTGAGTATGTGTATGGCTGTGGCGTCAGTGATCTTCATATGTTGTATACGTGCAGGTTGCCGACCGAACGACTTGAAGAAACGAAGCTGCAAAAATAAACTAGTCTGCTCTTTCTCCATAAGGTCACTTGGGAACACAAGATCTGCTCTGGAGCACTTCAAGATTTCACCAACTCGGCCTGCACCGTAAAAAGCCAACAATGTCACACCAGCCCATGCATGCCATTTAAGCTGCCATGCAACCGCCACCATGGCCTTCACAAGACCCTCGGGAATCGGCACCCTGTGTTCAACTGGCTCTGCCATTTCCCATTTCGAAACCAAATCCCAACACGGGGCAATCAAAGCTCTGACTGAGGGCAACCACCGTTGGCAGGAAAGCAACAAGTGCCTAAAGTCACTCAAAACACCGCCGCGTCCAAATTCCAAATTCCCATATATGCTCAAAGCTGTGACAAGGAAAGAGGGGACCGCTGTGAAAAGAAACTCTAGCTCTACACTGCGCACGTATTGCTTTACCCAAACAACAAAAGCCTCCAAAATTTTTGCTTCTCTCAGGAGAGTGGTTGTTGAAAGTAGCTGTATGCTTTCTAGTTGGATGTGCCTGGCTGCTCTGGTCCGCCGAGGACCAGGAGTTTTGGCTTCCCCTGCGCGGAGAGAACCAGTGCGGCTGCAGCCGGCAACATCGAGCCTCGCATCTCCTTTCCAGCCACACTGTATTGCCGCCGCTGAGCCAAGCACTTCGCACAGACCTCGCGGGTATGGTTCCGCGATTTGAGTCCAAGCTTTGCCATGCGGCGCAGTTCCCCTGAGGGCCTGGTGGGGCCTCCGGCACATACACATCATGCGGAGCCCCATGAGGCCTTTGATGTTGGTCGCTATCCGAGTAGCTTTACGCCACTGAGTACCGAAGCGGCAAAAGCAGCAGCGGAAAAGGTGTCGGGATGAAGGGTCACGATACTTTGAAAAACGTTTTTGTCTCCACCACCAGCTCGTGTCAGGGTTCTCCAACCAAAACCCTACAACAGGTGTCAACGACTCTGTGTGCTCGATGAGGTCAGCTAAGAAGTCGTTGTGGGAGTTGCCTTGTCTGATCTTCTCCCTCATCTTTGAGCTTAAACCGGGCAGGCCTCTCAAAAAACGTTTGCTGCGGACCGGTGGTGTCACTGCTACTGAGAATGAAGCGCATATCGGAGCCGCGCCCCAGACTTTCACAGCTCCCAGTTCAAGCAGCTGGCGAATCCTGTTTCGCACACCCTCATCCAACAAATCTTCTCCAGTGCTTCTCTTCCATTCAAAGCAAAGAACCCAAGGTGCACCATGCCTAATCAGAGCTTTCGCTGTACCAAATGACCCTGAAAAAAGATCCAGCGCACCAGGTCTGTCAAAACCCTTGAAGCCCTTAGGAAGCAAGAACTGACGTAGTGGGAAGGTTTTCAAGAGGTCAGCGGCTGCTGAGTTCAAACCCGACTGACCGTCGGGCGAAGCTTCGCTCACAGCGGCCAACGCATGATCAAGAAAACATCGCTTCGTTCGAGGCAGCCTTGCAGCAGGCTTCAGTTCTGGCATGTACTTGGACTGCAAGTCCGCACATTCAAAGTCATTCTTGGCGACTGCTAGCTCTGACTGACGGATCCAGGCGTCAAACTCTTCAAATGAACCGGCTGCAAGCTGGTCCCACCATGAAGGCAGCTCTATGTCGGGAGGTTCAGGTTGTGAGTGTCGAGTGGGTCCATCAGCTCTGTTTGTTTTGCTTGGGAAATACATGTAACTGCTGTAGAGGTCGGAGCTGAGGACGTTGGGAAGTGCTTTCATCATTTCTTTGTTCAACGTTCTGGACGCCGCTCTCCCTTTCACTAAAGCTCCTAAGCTAACTTGTGAATCAAGGCCATACAAAAAACGCCTGTGAGTGTATCGCTGCGCCAACTGTCGTTCCTCCAACAAGTGTGCGCGAACTTCCAAAACGTTTATGTGTGCCTTTTTTAAAACAGGTTTCCTCCAGCGTTCTGTGTATGTAAGCCCCCCTAGCAAGCAGCAGCCAAACAGGTCTCGCATCAAAACTGTCTCCCCCCAGGTAACTCCGAGTCCGGCCCAAGAGCCCCGTGAGCACGGAGCCAGGCCTTGTCTGCAGGTAGGAGGCGAGTCCATCGCCCTTTGCGCAAGCCACGGCGGGCAACCTCAGACACGAGCGTCAAGGGTGCAGGTGCTCTCACAGCTGCCATCCAGTCGAGGGAAGCGTCGGTCGAGGTAACGAAGGGTTCGTACTGGGCACGGAGGTTGCAAACAGAAAGGGGTCCCAAAAGTGCAATACACCAAAGTTCACTGCGCATCTCAGGTGATAGCCTCAGGATAGTTGCTTGCTCTGAAAACCCCAGTGCGTCAAAAATAACATTCATAGTGCACAACAGCCTACGCCGCACTGCAAATAACGATACCCAGGAACCTGCAATGGCCTCCAAAAGTGTCACCGAACTGAGCCCAAGCATGGCAACGCGCAATGTAATCACCACTAAAGGCCACAGCCGCAATGAAGAACCCCGCAGCAAACCCTTAACACCGTCAATCTCGACTCCCCAAAACCGGGACAAAGCTTGATTACGAAACTCTTTTTTCAAGTTGACCTCAAGGCCGTGCTTTGCATAAGAGCTCAATGCTTTGTCAAGCCGCTTGTCTGCTTCTGTTGTCTGCACACCATCCAACACGCTTTGCCAGTCCTCTCTGAGCAGCTTCTCAAGCAACACAAGATCATCTATGATCACGCCAACTGAAAGCAGCCCTCTAGGTATGTCCCCTTGCAGGGATATCATCTCATCCTGTGAGAGGACTCCAGCTTCAAGCATCATGGCCAGGTGTGAGCACTGAGCAAACTCACAAGCGTTTTGGTCGCCCATGGCTAAGGTGGCTAGCCCGCAGAAAACGGGGCTATCATAGCCCTCCAGCCAATCGCTGAAGACATATCGAGCCTCCTGCAGAGTAAGGGGGTCAGCCAAGGCATTGCGCCTCACTCGCTGGTCTCCCACTGTGAACTGGTAGAAGAAGTCTCGCAGATCCTCGCCCGAGGCCAACAGTATTTGCTCAGGATCCAGAACAATGTCAGCCAGAGCGGCAGCGGAAGCCATGCTCTTGCACCATCTGTGTAGCACCGCATCAGCTAAGTTTGCAGGGCGAGCGTCCAGAATCAAGCGGTCTCTGGTCTGATTGATTCTTGGGCACTGCAAACAAGCCAGACAAATGCCGACGGCGAACTTCAGAGGCATGCAGCGGCTTGAGCCGTTTCGAGTCTGCCAGCTTCTTCAAAAGTTCAAGCTTGTTGTTCGAACTGGCCCGAATGTGCACGACTGGAATTGCTTCTGTAATGGAAGAAAGTTCTGGGCCCACTTCCAAAGGCCTCTCATACACTGCAGCAGTCTCTTGATCCAGCAAAGGGACCGGGTCGAAAGCAGGCGGATTTGGGAATTCAATCCGATCAGCCTCAATGTCTTTGGCTGGACTCACATTCATCTTTTGCATCTTCCCTATCACCTTGCCACAAGTGACAGCCGCATGGTCATAGTCAACCGGAGGTCGGGACAAAGCATCTGTGTAGTATCCATGCGACTGCAGGTCAACTGAGGCCATGGCTTTGCAGAGAGCTCCCAATGCATCCTCAAAGGATTCAAATTTGGCAGCCCCCCGGCCCATGAGATCAGCATCGATGAATTCTGGTGTATTTCCATCAAAGTTCAAATGCCTAAGGACGGAGATTGCTGTCCACTGCTTGGCTGACAACGGTGTGCCAAGGCCCATCGTTCGTGGTGCTCGTGCCGGTCTTCCCAAGGCCAACCAACTCAAAAGAACCGACTGCAGAGAAATGAGCCGTTTTCTCCAGAGCCCGTCAACCTCAGAAGGGTGGCTTGCACGAAAGGCCTCAGGATATGGTATAGGCATCGGCCAAGTAGAGGCAGAAGAACTTGAGGTGGCGCTTCCTTTCGAAGCGCTTGGCATTTGGAGCATAGATCGCAAAAAACTTCGAAGGCCACAGTCTGTTTGTTGCAACCAACGAGGCATCGAATTCGCTATGGCGGAGACCCTCACGGCACTGACTGAAGATCCAGGAACTTTTGCTTGCTTCGGCAATGCAGTCTCTTCAGCTCCGCACGGCCCTGACGGGCCAGTCATGCATCCATCTGAGTCCCATCCCCAGCATTGCGCTTTGGACGGGCTTTGGCTTTCCTCTTGGGCTGAGCATCGTCTCCGCTGGCGGTGTCTTCTTTCTTGCCGCCCTTTTGGAGCTTCCTGCGCTTGTCCAGGTAGTCCTCTGTGTCCCGAAGGTGCGCCAAGGCCACCTCCGACCAGCGAGGATCGAGCAGCTTGCTGAAAGGTGGATCCCCCATTGAGACATCTGGTGGATGGTGTTGAGCCAATACTGCAAAGGGCGGAGGAGCCTCCAAACTCAAGGTGGCTGCCATCTGCCAACTGCCCCTGTCTGCTGCAGCCTGATCCATCTGCAGAAGCAGCAAGCAGCTGCGGGCTCTTGCTTCCTCCACCCGATCCATCATCAAGCAGTCCAACACACCGCTGATGCCCCAAGCCGCATGAGCCAGAGTCTTGTATGCCCCAATGAAACTGCGGTGCTCGACCCAAGCTCTCGCGGACAGGGCCGGTTCCGGCATTCCAGGAGTGCGAGTGCGGCCTGCCAGGTCCTCCATCATCAGCTTCTCGATGTTGCGGGAGATCTCGTGAGGACTGGCGGTCAGTGACTTCATAAGAGCCCGGCGAGCTATCGCCGAGCGCTTGCCCGCACCCGACCCGACGGACTCCGATCCACCGCCATGAACACCATCCAACGCAGCCTCCAAAGTCGACTTCTTCTTTCTCTTTTCGGCTGTAAGGACGTCCATGATGTCGGTCAACTTGCCTAGAGCTTTCATCATCGGATCTGAACTCGCAGCAGGTTCGAGGTCGCCCGATCCAGCAGCGTCTGCATCCGGCTCCTCGTCCGATTCGGACAATGGGCCTGCCTTGACCTTGGGAGGAAGTCGAGGCTCTCTGACAGTTCTGGCCTTGCCTGCCGAAGCCATCAACGCTTGCATCTCTTGGAGAGCTGAGTCTGCCACTCCCGCTTGCTGCGCCGCCCGAACAACAGCTTGATCCAACAAAGGGAATTCGGCTGTTGCCATTGCACCCTTTTGCACAGGAGAGGCCTTCACCTTTGGCTTGGAAATCTGTTCTGCCGGAGGAGCAGCCGTGAATGGAAGCTGAGGCAACTTGGCAGCCTGCGTCTTCTGCATTTGAATCAGCTCTTGAATGCCTGTCGTCACAGTAGCCATAGTCTCCTCCAATTGCAAGACTCTGGATTGCAGATCGTGAGACCCAGAAACGTCGACCTTGCCGGGCTCCGGCGCTGGGTGCTCCACTGCCGTAAAGAAAGCAAAATGCTCCTGACAGACCTCCACCAAGCCTTCCGCAAAGGGGTAGATGCCCAATGAGCCGTCTGGAGAAAAGAGGAGAGTGTCCTCGTCTAGATCTTCGCCCTCCTCTGGAAACAAAATGGTTGGAACTAGGCTCGGCTTCAAAAATCCGACCCAAACTTTCAATGAATTCTCGATTGGCGAGACAGCATGCCGGTCGTCCGGCTCTGCAACAACAACTTCGACGAGGGTGGCTTTGGTCAAGGTGTCCGGCGGGACCATCCGCTGAGCTCTCAACCGATGCCATCCTGAAAAAGGGATTGTGACCAGTGTCTTGCCTTCAAACTGAGACACCAAAATGATCTGTAGATGAACTGGCTGGCCACTTTGGCCTTGTAGCGACAAAACTCCGGTCGGGTAGTTGAAATCGACCCGGCCTTCTTGGTAAACCAGCGGAAGTGAAGTATCGGGAACTGTTTCCACCTCCGCCAGCTCTTCTCCTTCCTCGCTCATCCCTCAATCAGTCCCCCCCCACTCAAAGGCACCTGCAGTGATAGCCTGCTGGATGTCCTGAATGGCTGGGAGGCCAACGAAGATCGAATCACCGAGCTCTGAACCACGCTTCACTAGATCACGAGCCAATGCCCACTTGCGAACCACTCGAACGGGAGAAAACACCTGGTCGTCAAACGACCGCACCACGATCCAGTACTTCGAGGCAAGGCCAATGCGGTCCCGCCCCGATGCACCACGAGGTTCCCCACGAAGTGCCCTCCTCAGAAAACAACCGACAGCACGAGCCGCTGCCTCACGCTCGGAATCCAGATGGGGAGCCTCAGGCGTGGAGGATGTTCCTGGAGCGGGGGCTGTGTGAGCCAAGGCACGATCGTAGGCTGCTTTGTCAGCGGCCTCTGAGTCCCGAATCTCAGAAATCAAAGTGAAGGGGCCCGAAGAGCTCAAATCAATGCCACGTTCCTGCAGATCAATGACCTGGAGTTTCAAATCCCTCACCTCACCACGAAGAGCGGTGAGCACCGATCGAAGGCTTGCAACCTCCCCCCTAACCGTGTCCAACTGAGTTTGGATGATCTCGAAATCCTCGGGGGAAGATGAACCGGGCATACACTCAAACCAATCGGTAGTGAGGCCGGGACCCTGCAGCCTGTCCGTGCAGCCGACTCAGAGCCAAGTATCGAAGGGCCTGTACCACCTCAACCACAGGTAAAAGAACCAGTCCAACAGCCAACCCAGCAAGGAACGACAGGGGGTCAAGTGACCAGGTTCGACCAACGCAGTAAGGTGAATGCGCAGGGAGTTCGAATGGCTCCAAGACGCTCGCAAGCGCGCCCAGGGTTCGAGCCACTTCCATGCTTGGCCGGCGAGTCAGGAAAACATGTGGAGCATTTATTTGTTTTTTTCTGCATTGAATGCACCAGCTCTGAACCCACCAGCCATCCATTCACCACCAGCCAGCTGCCACAACTCCGCAACTCCCGGCCTACGTCAGGGACCAAATGCACAAGCCCACCCGAGAAGGTGTCCTCCAAGGGCTTTTGTGCTATACCACGCAAGGTGTCGAAGTGGCGAAGCCTACAGGTGCGCAGCATGGCGGTTAACGCATGAACCATATATGAACCGGGCATTTCCCTCCCGGTGTGTACTTACTTCGTACAGGCCGAAACGGGCCGAAACATACACATAGTCCATTGATAGCCTCAAGAACGTGGCACAAGCACTCACAGGAGCCAACAAGCCAAAGGAGATTTAAAACATATCATACATGTTACATAAATTAATATCAAAAACATAAATTAAAGACGACGACAACATGGTTAACACGAAAATGTAGAATATTGAATATTGGTTGTGTTTGTGCATTGCGTTTCCAATAGGCTGCCAGAATGATGGGCCTCGCAGCTTCACACGCTGGCAGGTTCAATGTCTTAACCCACTCAGCGTCCACGCGTGCCAAGGCTTTCCTTGGGTCGCCCGGTTCAAGAACGTCGTGCTGCATGATGCAGGCTGCGCATGGCTGCGCTGCACTCCCCGTTCAAGAACGTCGTAGCTATAGTATAGCGGGCCGGAAATCTCCTTTATTGGTTCCTATTTTTGAGATACTTCACTATGTTCCGACCTTCAAACAACCTATGTCGAGATCTAATGTCAAACTTAAATGCAAATCGAGCACAACCAATTCGAGTCCAGTCCAGCCCTCTATTTTCCCTAGGTTGTATTTTCTTTGTTCTTGCTTCAAAGGCAACCCTGAAACACAAACACACACCAGAGACAAGAGATGAAAAGAGCACACAAAAGAGAAGAAACACATGTCGTACATTGTCCTACTATGTGGTTCAACTACCTTCCATCCGCCTTCCAGCCGCCTCCACCTTCCCCTGTCGCCGCGCATCAAGGCTTTCTGCCGGATCGTCGCCGGCCTCGGGTCCAACGTCGTGAAGCTGACGCTGAGCTCCTCGGTCGCGGCGTGAAAAAGGTTCGGTGGATTTCATGCGTGGAACCAACGACGCTGACAGTGACACTGGTCAACGCCAACCAAAAAGACGGGAAAAACACGGATGAGAAAAGGACACGTTCGGAACAGTGGTATCGGAACGGCAGAACAAGTGCCCGCACTTCAATCGAGCACCCCCAAAAGTCACTGTTAAGATATGTTAAGATCTGTTATATAAGCCATGCTCCACCGTTGTTTTGCCAAGAGCACCACTCGGCGCTGATGAACCTTGGACCCAATCACTCGTTGCTGTGGTGCTTGCACGAAAGGCTCGCTCGCGCATGTATGAAAGGCTCGCTCGCTCGCCGTGCCGGGCGTCGACGGAGTCGGGGATCTCGCACAAACCTTGCAGCTGTTGGGCGGCAAAGCGCTGCAGGAGGAGTTGCACTGCCTTCGGGGCGAAGACTTTGACCTGGTCCCATTCGGAGCGAGTCTGGCCTTTCGAGTCCGGCCACGGTTTGGGTATGCATGGGTTCAATCCTCGAAGGGTGGAACCCCAAGAACGGGGGTATGATGGGGGTCCCTGGGCAACGAACACGGGCGATCAAAGGCCTTTGATCTGGGAGATCCGGGGAAAAGGGAAATTCGACAGATCTAGAAGCTTTGCTCAGGGAGATGCATTGGGTGCACCATGTTTCGCTTACTCTACTTGGCCCTGCCTCCAAAAAAAAACACCACCCCCCCCGTCCAATTACACTCCAACACCTACCAACTCTACTCTTTCCGCCGCCCGCCCGTGCTGCTCGTGCAGCACGCACGCGCGCCCCGTTTCTCACGCCTCGGTGAGCTTTCGGTGGAGCCGATAGACCCTCTGCAGCTGCAGCAGGCGCTGATTCTCTTCGAGGATCGGAGCACTCAAGCGCTCAGGCACCGGCACCTCCTGAGCGATTTCAGCTGGATGCGGGCCAAAAAGCAAACTTGTCATACATAAAACATCATAAAACAAATAGAACACCATTCGTCCATATCCATCCACTGTATTTCTATAGCCGGAAGCAAATTCCTAGTTTGCTGTTCCGCACGTCCACTGTTTGATGTGCCCCATCTCGTTTTGTACATCTCACCAAGCTCCTGAGCGCTCCAATCGGCATTCATCCCACACTTTCGGTACCTTGGATACACTCCGCGGACCAAAATCACATGGAAGTGAGAAACCCACTGCTTTTTTCCACTTCCATAGTCAAAGGCAGAGTGCATGCTGTCGAGAGGCATGGGTTGACTTCAGCACGGCTATCATATGTTGCATGTTCTTTTTGCTGTGTATACGGAACGAATCCATATCGAAGTGGATGACTGCGTCTTTGGGTGCATGGTAGCCAAAAGCAGGTTAGCATAAGTTAGCCATCTACCAAGCCAAGCTGACTGATGTAATGTTTTCATATGTGAGTTGCATCCAGCTTTCTCTGCCAAGGTGCAGTAAGAAATACGCATCCGAGGAGTGCAACACCGACCGGCCATCATCAGACTTGGGGAACAGTGTTTCACATTGTCGCGCCCCCAGGATCTGCACACGTTGGTCGTTGGCATCCTTCCAAACACCTCCGTCGATGGCCAAACTCTGTAGGACAAACTTAATCATTTTGGAATTGTCTGCCTAAAAACCTCTTGAATTTGGTGCAAACATGTGCAAACAGTGCAGGGCTGAGCTCGACCATGACGGTCTGTCAAGTGTAACCATATAAACACACTAGAAACCATCTAGTGGGACCGGGCATCCGTTGGCCTATGCAATTGAATATGCGATGTTTGCAACACACTCCCAACAAAAGAAGTTCAAGGACAGGTTTCAAAGCGTTTCAACTTAGGAGCTTTGGCATCTTGAGGTGAAGTGACACCAGACGGTACAACCGGTACAAATAAAGAAAGCCCTCGTGTGATGTGTCATGTCAGTCTTACCCATTCATTCGCTTGCCGAGCCCCGCCGGAGCTGTGGCCTTCGGGGTCTCGCAGGAAGGCGTGGTAGTGACCCCCATGGGCAGTGCCACTGTGCAAGCACACGGCCGACAACTCGTAGGTGCCGCCGCCCCAGAAGCTCAAATCCAGCCTGGTCTACAGAATGCTTGGGGGGCAAGGAGGGGTTTGGGGGGGCTGTCACCCAGCCAATGTATGGATGAATGTTCTGCGGGTGGTTCGTAAGGGTGGAGTGTGGAAGTCGTCTCATCTGTTGTGATTTATATATGGTTTATTGAGCCGTGAACCCAAGAAGCAAGCGATCCCCGGCAAAACGGACCTGATGTAGCGCATTAAATCTTTGGTGATGACAGTGACCCCAGCACGCGGCTCTTGCTCAGCGACTGAATGATCCTTCCTCTTGCACTCAGGTTGGCCTTCCCCTGGAAACCCAGGAACACCAAGTTTGAGCAAAGCAGCAAACAGTTTGAACCATCAGTTCATCTCTCCTGCAGGAGCCTTTACATTGACCCCAGATTCGGCCATATCAGTTTACACATGTTTAGTCTATGGCACTCCAATCACGTAGATTTGCTTAATTAAAGGAACTGGAAAGAACATGCATATTCAATAATACTATGCCCTCGAATCGAAAAGAAAATCACCCATAGAGAAAATAACCATCACCCAAGAAGTCACCCAGGGCCCGAAAAAGTCACCACTTTCAAACTTTGCACCTCACGAAACCGCGACGTCTAAACTTAACGTCTCTTCACGAACCAAGTGACTCCAGGGGAATGGCCAGTAGATCTGAGAGCTTCTTCCGACGCATCGTTTGCAAATCAAAAACAAAACCTGGAGCATCCAGGAACAAAGGGCATCGCTTCTAGGAGCAAGGACGCTACTAGTAGCTCCTGGCATCGCTACTAAGAGCAAGAAGCTACTAGGAACAAGGGGATCGCTACTAGCAACAAGGATGGAAAACAACACACAAGGTTGATCTGAGAAACAACCCATCCTCTTTTTATCCACACCGCTGATGATTCCTGCACTTTCATTGATTGAAACTCAAACTTGAACATTATTATTGTTGTTATATCGGTTCTTAATGTAGACTCTTGATTAATACACCCCCACGATCCCCCACGGTGAATTGAACATCCTCTTCAAAGGGGGGGTATTAATCAAGAGTTTACATTATAGATTTATATATAGCTATACAGTAATAATAAGGGTAATCCAAGAGCCACCCCTTGAAAACCAGAATGAGTCATGCCAGTCATGCCGGTTCTCGACGGAAACCGAAAGAAGAATGGTCTCCTGTCCCGTTCTGTGGCTTCCGCGGCAAGAAGTAGTCCGCTTCGGGTTCTGATGCACACTGATTGAACGAATGGGGAGCAACACAACAGAACTCCGTTGGACATGCATGGATCCTGGCAACCAATGAATGGTGCATGATGTCTTGATCATGCAATATAAGGCCTCTATTCAGTAGCCTGGTTCGAATCTCTGGCCTCTAGCTGATTATCATACAGCCTGACAACAGCCGTCATCAGGCAGCACAGTTCAACGAAGCTTCGACTCCTGGATTCAGCCAACCCGACATGCAAGCGAGCAACGCAAGAGTTGCAAACAAAGGATCTTGGGCACCGTGTCAATGCTGGTGCCTCGGCCATGTTTCACTATGAACCCAGCGAATCCCAACTACCACAAAACCATCGGAACAGTCCTTCAGAATAAAAGGCAGCCTGTCAAACATCGATGAAGGCACAGGTCTCTGGGACGAGTTCCGAACGCGCAAAGCAACATAAGCAACGATAAGCAACATATAATTAGTCATCTGAAATCATCTGAACATACACAATTGATCACTTAAATAATTGTAGAGACGATTGCTAAGAGAATCTTGAGGTATTTTTTCCCAAATCGGGCCTCATCAGGGTGCGAACAGGTCCATCACGCCTACATGAGTTGGCATGCAGCCAAGGTGCCACTCAAGGCATCAACCTTCTCCCCCAACTCTTCCTCAATCGCAAAATGCAGGAGACACAAAAAGCAAACGGAATCAGGCACATGCGCAAATTCTAGCAACATCGGCGTATATTTGATACAACTGTTCAGGTGAACAACAAGACACGACACGGTTGAGCATTAAAGGACACATAATCAAGCCACGTGCTTTCGCTACCCGATGTTTCTTCAATGTTT